GGGTTGTCCAGGAGGCAGGTGAGGTGTGGGGTTGTCCAGGAGGCAGGTGAGGTGTAGGGTTGTCCAGGAGGCAGGTGAGGTGTAGGGTTGTCCAGGAGGATGAATGAATGATCTTTAATTCCTCCATTAATTTCGTAGAGTAAGCCCAGAGTGCAATACGTAAACTTACAAATGGTATACCCTGTGTAGTTGTTATTATTATGGGTGAGTAACCATACTGCTGTGTTTCTTGCAGTGGATGCTGCTCACATGAAGACATATATTGTACGCTCTGTGTAACCATGATTTTTTTTATCCATCTGAGGTGATACATATCTGACTACGGTGGAATACAGGTGATACATATCTGACTATGGTGGAATACAGGGGATACATATCTGACTACGGTGAGATACAGGTGATACATATCTGACTACGGTGGAATACAGGTGATACATATCTGACTACGGTGGAATACAAGTGATACATATCTGACTACGGTGGAATACAGGTGATACATATCTGACTACGGTGGAATACAGGTGATACATATCTGACTACGGTGAGATACAGGTGATACATACCTGACTACGGTGGGATACAGGTGATACATATCTGACTACGGTGAGATACAGGTGATACATATCTGACTACGGTGGAATACAGGTGATACATATCTGACTACGGTGGAATACAGGTGATACATATCTGACTACGGTGGAATACAGGTGATACATATCTGACTACGGTGAGATACAGGTGATACATATCTGACTACGGTGGAATACAAGTGATACATATCTGACTACGGTGGAATACAGGTGATACATATCTGACTACGGTGGAATACAGGTGATACATATCTGACTACGGTGCGATACAGGTGATACATCCTGTGACTTAGTCACGTTTCGTAATGTAGATAATCCATGCAATTTTGTTCATTGCGTTTTTAAAAGAGCTAGAAATGTTTAAGGGAAATATTTCTCCTCTCGCTTAAGTTAACCGGTCTATATTGTGTAAGAATCAACTTTCGCATTGAGCGATTATCTCCTTTAGCTATAAGCGGAGTATAGAGCTTTTTCATGCACTGACCTTGCAATGGTGTACATCGTATCTTATGTCACTGAGCGTGAGTGTTTATTCCCTACCCGAATAGCTTTATTGTGTACGTCCTTTACAATGTATCGTTTGTTATTCAGGCAGCCGGAAAAAAGGTTCCAGAGAGGGATTCAGGTCAAGCATGTAACGCGCACTCAATCTTTCTCCCTTCACACTGCTGTTGGACTTATTGTCCAACACGATTAAATACCAGGCTTCAATAAAGTATGACTTTGTTCAATAAACAACACATGTAAAACCACGGGTTTGATAAGAGAAACTTGTAATTAGTTTCACATATATGATTCATACCGTTTCATGCGGCGGTTTACAGTTCTGCATGGTTTATTGTTTCGACCGTTTTTTAAACTTCCGGCTGAGATTATACACCCGTATATGTTCTTTGCTTCTTGATTACACAGGCAGTTAACAGGTTGGTCTGTAGTTTGCAATTATTTAAAATAATTATACGGTTGCATGATATATTCACGATGTTTTGGTTGAACATAGTAACATTCTTCTAAACATACTTCAAATCTAAACCGGAAGTAGTCACAACACAAAGCCAGTTAACCAAACGGAACCGTACACAAGAGTAATGAGTGAGTGAGTGAGTTGGGTTTAACGCCGCTTTAAATAGTGTTTCTCTTATATCACGGCGTGTCAGCTTGATGGAAGGAAAGCCCGATGTGATGCAGGTCTCAGACGTTTACCACTTCCGTGACGCTCACGAGCAGGGGTATGGTGCTGACTACATAATCGGATTCGAACACACTGTCATAGATTTCTGGCGTGCCCAAGGGACACAACTCTGCATAGCGAATTGCAGCGCATAAGGCGACTTTGGCCAACCGTGCCCCCGTACACAACTGCTACAAACTATCATTCAACAAAGATGTTGAAGATGAGATATGTATTGCGCAACATTCCACGAGGAAACAGTGGCAATATCACAAACTACAATATATATGCACAATAAGTGCAAATATGAGAATTGAGCAAAACTATTTGTAATGTTGTACATACAAATAATTTGTTTATAATTGTTGATATGATAACAGATCTTGGAAATTTTGTCTGGATAACTGTTGTTAAAAATCCTTAAGAATGGTTCTTTTTAAGAGAGTGTACAAAATTCTTTTTCATGATTGAGGATTATTTGTGATACTCTTTGTTGGTTGTATTTTATACAAGACAGTGCGTAATGTTGCTCATCTTCTGAGACATCACATGTTTAACAGAGACGTTGTTCTAATGGGGTTGGTGTTTTTGTATATCCACCAGTTTCAATTTTTAGTTTGTGATTACATAAACGAAGTTTTGAGAAATGTGACCTATGAGCTTTGTTTTCACAATAGGTAAGATAATTCTCAATGTTTATAGATGACTTGACCAACCTGTATGATCTTAACTTGCTGTTGGATAAATGGGAATCCCTTAATGATTGTGTGAACATATTTTTACATTTGGAGTGAAGTTTATTTACAGTGGATTCAATACATTTATTTGTGTTTGCAATTTCAAAAGTTGTTTTCGTTTAACCCAGCCAACATTTTGACCAGAAAGATTGATCTTTGCTGCCAAAGCAGTTTAAGAAGGACATTTATTGTGTTATCTATGTAGGACTTGTTATCAATTATTTTTTCCTCTCATTGGTACTAATAGTGGATTTTACCAAGTTCTGCCTGACAGGCCAAAAATGTGTTTTCTTGACTTGGTTTTCCTTGTGCTGACCATTTAAAAACACTCTTTCTTATATTGTGCCTTCCAAAGATAACTACATGAACAACAACCAATTTGACCTTTAAACCAATCCTCTCCTCCCATTGCTCCCACTTCCTTCCTCTGCATATGACATTGTATGTCAGGGAACCAGTGATGCACTGCAGCAATCTCTACTTGTATATGCCTATAGCAATTTTGGCCAATAACCTAAGGAATGATAAAAAATGCAGTCGTTAACATATTGTGTGTTATCATCTTTCTACATCAGTACACATTATTGTGATTCATGTATAAGCATAGCCCGTTGCTCGTACACTATCACTGTCCCTCCATACCGGTGGGTGCCGCGCGGAGATGTATTGCGATTAAATGCCATAACATACCAGGTCTTTGCTAGAGCTAAAAATCAGTTGGATTTATTGAACTGATCTTTGTAAACACGACCGAATCTGCTATTCTCATACTGTGTGAGTGGTAGAGTTTAACGCCGCTTGGAACAGTCTCTCGGTTATATCAGGGCGTGTCAGGTTGAAATGGAAAGAGTGAGTGAGTTGTGTTTAACGCCGCTTTTAACAGTATTCCAGTTATATCACGGCGTGCCAGGTCAGTGTGGGAGGAAAGCCCGAAGTGATGCAGGAATTGGACGTGAAACCCACGTGCACGGGTATGACAAACCTAGAAATATAATTGGCGCGAACCAACAATCATAGGTTTCAGGCGTGCCCAAGGGACGCAACTCTGCACAGCAAATTGCCGCACCCTAGACGACTGGGCCACCCGTGCCCCCTGAAATGGAAGGAGGCAATTACTTATTATATACTTTAGTATGAAAGACTGAGTTTTCTAAAGTTGGGAAAGGTGATATTTTCATTGCAGTGAACATAACACTTGATATTTCACTGCAGTGAACATAACACTTCGACGGAGTGAGCAAGAGAGTATGGTTTTACGCCGCTTTTAGCAATATTCCAGCAATATCACGGCGGGGGACACCAGAAATTGGCTTCACACAATGTACCCATGTCGGGAATCGAACCCGGTTCTTCGGCGTGACGAGCGAACACTTTAACCACTAGGCTACCCGACAGCCCATTTTTGATGGAACTATTGTCATACAAGAGTTATCTCCCTCAAATTGTCTCCCTTTATCGTTAGTGTCTGGCCCGTACACAAACTGTTGACGTCCATTTTACGCCAGTTCCACATTGACAAGGCAAAATAATGACGGACGGTCATTTATGGAGTTAATTTCACTTCATGCCGTTTGTTATTCTCGTAATAAACTGTAAATTTCTCATTGAATTTGTCAATCGAAACTGTTCGTTTCGAAAAGCGCCATTTTTGTTACTTGACCAGCGTGTATTCTTTTGCTTCCAACAGCAGTCTCCTAGTTTTCAGGGATATTTTTTGTTAAAGTTGTTTTTGTATATAATCATATGTAAATGTATGATGAAGAATTTTCGTGACCCTAACTATTTTTTATACTTTTATCCATATTGTTTAAGGTTTTGCAAACACGAAACTACACGAAAATATCCTCTATGTATCCATGCCAACAGATCCACGTCTCAAAAATAATGTAACCAACCTAACCTTGTATGTCCGAGCGATGATGTAGACAATAACAGTTAGTGAGTGAGTGAGTTAGGGTATGCCAGTAACAGTATTCCAGTTATATAACAGTATTCCAGTTATATCACGGCGTGCCAGCTTAATGTGGGAGGAAAGTCCGAAGTGATGCAGGTCTAAGACGTTTACCACTTCGGTGAAACTCACGAGCACAGGTATGGTTCTGACAAACCTAAAACATAATCCTGGTGAACCGGGATTCGAACCCACAGTCATAGGTTTCTGGCGTGTCCAAGGGACGCAACTCTGCACAGCGAATAGCGGCGCCCTAGACGACTGGGCCACCCGTGCCCCCGTAGACAATAACAGGTAGTGTAAAGTATCATCTGCTTGACTTGACATGCTATTTACTGGCCAACTCTCAAATCCACAGCGTTGCTCCCTGACCCCTCATCTGGAGAATGAAGAAGTATGGGACTATCATCCCATGGTTTGTCCTGGCCAGGTTCGATCACGTACAGGCCGCCCTGATTGCTAGGATCCTGCTGACTGTGGCGGTACACAACATTCACTCACTACACAACATGTCGAACATACAGCTCTACGTCAGGCGGTAAACACTGGATGGTTGTTATCATGATGTACATCAAACTGTCGTGTTAACCGCACAAAATGTGACGACGCCTTTCATTCAAATCAAGTATGATGTTTACTTATATTAAATAAACGCCTTTGATGGGAAACCTTTCCCACTGACCCCGAGAGGTAAACGAGATTGCTCGCATCGTACGATTGTTGAACGGTGGTAAATCTTGTGGTGAGATGATAGCAGTTCGTGAATGTTGAATACAGAAAAAAAATCTTTAAATATTATGTCGGATTAGTTAACTCTGCTTCATGCAGAGATTTCTATTGGATATGGAAAGAGTGCGGTCGCTTTGTTTACATCCGTCTGAGCGGAGATTGTTGGGACGTCGTTCAGGGGTATGTAAAGACACTGCCGTGACTCTCACACAATGCATTCCTTCTTTACTGTTTGTGTGACATCGGCTATGGATCTGCACTGACATTAGTTAAATATACTAAAGCTGTATCATTAAATCATGACATTAAACATTTCAGGAACATCCAGCTGAACAGAAAGCCTCCCCCAGCCTGGTTCATAGCAAAACCCCATCCAGCCGTGAAGAAACAGTGTTCATTTGTATGCCGTATGGAGGGACACCCGGCAATGTTCAAGGAAACTGCTTTCTGTATTGTCTACACCACAACGACCTTCTAACACACGCACGGTGTCCGTGTGAGACTTTATACATGTATCGAGACATGCTGTGGCTTGACATCGTCAACACTGGTCCTGCGGAACTCCGTCAACACTGGTCCTGCGGAACTCCAAGATAGATGAGACACTGATCTTGTCGGCAGTCTCCTGTGCCGCCATGTCCTGTGTCCATGTCCTGTAACTGGCTGTACTATTTGTGCAACTTCCCAAGTGACTCTCAATCCTGGTACCATCGCCCTTCTTCACTTTTAACTTATAACTCATCTTGTACACATCTTGTACTTATCTTGTACTTATCTTGTACTCTTCTATGGAGGAATAAAAGCATGTATATTATCATAAAAGAGGCAGTAGTTCGGACTTGTACAAGCAGTCGCACACACACACACACACGCACGCACGCACGCACGCACGCACGCACGCACACACACACACACACACGCGCACACAGACACAGACACACAGACACAGACACACACAGACACAAAGACAGACAGACACACACACACACACATACACACACACACCGACCTCTGATCATATATATTAACACCTGAACGTACACACCGACCTCTGAAAATACACATTGACATCTGAACACACACCAAAATGTGAACTCACACACCCACATCTGAACATACACACGCCCACATCTGAACGAGCATACTGACATCTGGACATACACACCCACATCTTAACACACACACACCCACATCTGAATGCACACACCCACATCTGAACATACACACCCACATCTGAACACATACACCCACATCTGAACACTCACATCTGAACATACACATCCACATCTTAACACACACACCCACATCTGAACATACACACCCACATCTTAACACCCACATCTTAACACACACACACACGCATCTTAACACACACACACACACATCTGAACATACACACCCACATCTGAACACCCACATCTGAACACACACACCCACATCTGAACACACACACCCACATCTGAACACCCACATCTGAACACCCACATCTAAACACACACACACACACACACATCTGAACACACACACACACATCTGAACACATACACACACATCTGAACACCCACATCTGAACACACACATCTAAACACACACACACACACACACACACATCTGAACACACACACACACATCTGAACACCCACATCTGAACACACACCCACATCTGAACACATACACACACATCTGAACACACACATCTGAACACATACACCCACATCTGAACACCCACATCTGAACACCCACATCTAAACACACACACACACACCCACATCTGAACACACACATCTAAACACACACACACACACATCTGAACACACACACACACATCTGAACACCCACATCTGAACACACACACCCACATCTGAACACACACACACACATTTGAACACACACATCTGAACACATACACCCACATCTGAACACACCCACATCTGAACACACACACCCACATCTGAACACACACACACACATTTGAACACACACATCTGAACACACACACACACATCTGAACACACACACACACATCTGAACACACACACACACACATCTGAACACACACATCTGAACACACACATCCACATCTGAACACACACACCCACACCTGAACACCCACATCTGAACACACACACACATCTGAACACACACATTTGAACATCCACATCTGAACACACACACACACATCTGAACACCCACATCTGAACACCCACATCTGAACCCATACACACACATCTGAACACCCACATCTGAACACCCACATCTAAACACATACACCCACATCTGAACACACACACCCACATCTGAACACACACCCACATCTGAACACACACCCACATCTGAACACCCACATCTGAACACCCACATCGACATCTGAGCTACAGACCGACAAGATAACAAACCCGCGTATTGAGCTTTGTAGTCTGTGAGGGTGTTGGCCGTCAAATGTTCAGCATCTAGTGTGTTGCGAGCTACTCGTGGATACCCGAAAAGGTACAAGCGGCCGGCTACATTACTACAGAAAGACTCAAGTACAAGCATCCGGCTACATTACTACAGAAAGACTCCAGTCAGGGAGACCAGTTAAAGAACAACGGTGAGGCTCCAGTGTTACAGATGCCTCCATCTCCATTGCTGGACCATGTTCAGACTCTATGGACGTGAGTAGACACCTAACCTAATATCTAACTTTCCTAACTGCAGTATTGTGTAAAACGAATTACGATTGACTGTATTCCGCTCAGACACCAGAACTGTTTTGGTACAACTTAGATTGCGACTGTTTATTATATGTATCGCCCTTACGACATCATAACCTTACCTTGCATGTAAAATTACTTGAACTGTATTGTGCAAATGATGCTTGATATGATGATTGATAAATGTCCTTAAACCGGTGTAGTAGGCTCAAACGACTCCCCCTAAACTTGACTCTAGTGACTAGGCTCACATGACTCCCCTTGCCAGGATAACAACTCTCCCTCTAGGCTCACATGACTCCCCTTGCCAGGATAACAACTCTCCCTCTAGGCTCACATGACTCCCCTTGCCAGGATAACAACTCTCCCTCTCTCCCTGTATGCACATCGCTGTATAAGAGCAATACGCTACGCTATTAAGCTCTCTTTCACCTTATTACCTGAACTGAATGCCATGGAGTTATGAATTCCATTTCAACAGCCTCACTAGGTTTACAGTTCCCCCTCCACACGCACGCACGCACGCACACACATACACGAACACATATTCACGAACACACACACACACACACACACACACACACACACACACACACACACACGCACGCACACACACACACACACACACACACACACACACACATTGTGTGTTTTCTTCAGGCCATGGTTGATGTGAAATAAAAACTGTTTAATATGAGTCACTGTTCCCTGATTGGATTATTTACAGGCCGCTGTCATATTGCCAAACTTCTACAGACTGCGGCGTAAAACAACAACCGAACATATTGACACGGCTTGTACAAGATCGGTGAACAAAATAATTCTCGAGATAGCGCTGTGTATTTGTATCTCGAGTTCGAGATAATCAGGCATAGTTATATGTAACCATTCCACCGCCAAACCCGAGGTATCAGGCTCATGTCGACGTCACCAGATATGACCACGCGCCTGTCAGGGAAGTTCAATATGAATCGGGACTTCGTGACCATGACACGTGACCAACGACGGTTACCCAAGTTTGAACGTTGTGTACACCATTAGCGTCTGTTAGCAGTATGACGATATAAAAGGGGCGGCACACCACGTGGCCGTCGAGCATGAAGATGAGCTGCATGGAGACGATACCTAATCGTCTGACCCGTAACTCGTGCTCCAGTAGCCTGATGAAAGTTTGCAGCAATTTGATTCGTCGTTTGAGCTCGATTTTGTGGAGCCTGGGTTCGGATCAATCGATCCTGTACTCTTGTCGTTGACCTTGGACGCCTTGAACGGGTTCGATCGTCAACATGTTTGCTGGTACCTGTTCCAATGTCTGCTACTCACATGCTGTAAAACACTTAACGTGTTGGCCACTGCACGCTGTCAGCAGACGCCGCATCGCCAGCTCATACACAAATGAATAAAATCAAGTAAATCACAACCGTATGATAAGCAGAATCAATGAGATAGACAGCAATAAAGATCCGCAGAGTTTAATCGACCTTCCTTGGAAGTGTGAATATCAGGAATGACACCTACGCACATGTGGCGCCACAACGTGCGACGCGTGCAATCTCTGGGTCACGGTTGGTTTATATCATAAAAGTTCTTGCATAGGATGTTCGCCGTCAATGTTTATCTTTGTTCTAATACTTGGTATTTATACTTGATCCTCTACTTTATTTAAAGAGTATATTTTACAGAAATTAAAGAAATTATTATCAATAAATTGTGTCTGCTTTGTAAAGTAGTATCAAGATTACTTTTGAGAGACCTGACCTAAGAAAAACATCTTTACAGAATTGTAACGGGCGACTGATGTCACATGTTAATTTAAAAGTAATGGTTATATAGATTACGTCATCCACGCCTACCTTCTGCACACACATATTAACAATGGGACGATTCACTAGGTACGAAGAAGGTCACATGAACATCTGAAACCTTTGGAACTGTTTGCCAAAACTGATCAGGGGAAGTAGAACACAGAACGTATAAAGGGGATTGATCTGAGCCAAAAAGGGAGTGATCTGAGTCTGGAGTGAATGTTTTGGGTCCAGTAGATAGGAGTGATCTGAGTCTGGAGTGAGTGTTTTGGGTCCAGTAGAGAGGAGTGATCTGAGTCTAGAGTGAGTGTTTTGGGTCCAGTAGATAGGAGTGATCTGAGCCTGGAGTGAGTGTTTTGGGTCCAGTGGAGGTGAGTGATCTGAGCCTGGAGTGAGTGTTTTGGGTCCAGGAGAGAGGAGTGATCTGAGCCTGGAGTGAGTGCTTTGGGTCCAGTGGAGGTGAGTGATCTGAGCCTGGAGTGAGTGTTTTGGGTCCAGGAGAGAGGAGTGATCTGAGCATGGAGTGAGTGTTTTGGGTCCAGTGGAGGGGAGTGATCTGAGCCTGGAGTGAGTGTTTTGGGTCCAGTATAGAGGAGTGATCTGAGCCTGGAGTGAGTGTTTTGGGTCCAGGAGAGAGGAGTGATCTGAGCCTGGAGTGAGTGTTTTGGGTCCAGGAGAGAGGAGTGATCTGAGCATGGAGTGAGTGTTTTGGGTCATGTAGATAGTAGTGATCTGAGTCTAGAGTGAGTGTTTTGGGTCCAGTGGGGGGGAGTGATCTGAGTCTAGAGTGAGTGTTTTGGGTCCAGGAGAGAGGAGTGATCTGAGCCTGGAGTGAGTGTTTTGGGTCCAGTGGAGGGGAGTGATCTGAGCCTGGAGTGAGTGTTTTGGGTCCAGTATAGAGGAGTGATCTGAGTCTAGAGTGAGTGTTTTGGGTCCAGGAGAGAGGAGTGATCTGAGCATGGAGTGAGTGTTTTGGGTCCAGTGGAGGGGAGTGATCTGAGCCTGGAGTGAGTGTTTTGGGTACAGTGGAGGTGAGTGATCTGAGCCTGGAGTGAGTGTTTTGGGTCCAGTGGAGGTGAGTGATCTGAGCCTGGAGTGAGTGTTTTGGGTCCAGGAGAGAGGAGTGATCTGAGCATGGAGTGAGTGTTTTGGGTCCAGTGGAGGGGAGTGATCTGAGCCTGTGGAGTGAGTGTTTTGGGTCCAGTAGATAGTAGTGAGCTGAGCCTGGAGTGAGTGTTTTGGGTACAGTGGAGGGGGGTGATCTGAGCCTGTGGAGTGAGTGTTTTGGGTCATGTAGATAGTAGTGAGCTGAGTCT